CTTTGCACACCTGCCCTCAAGAGTTCGCCGAAGACACCCCTGCTTGGGTCGTCTGCAGGGTTGGAACTGGTAGGTACGCGGCCGTACCAAGGCCTCAACCGAGCGTCATCCTCAAGATCTAAGACAGCTGACACAATGGCTTTGCCGGGAAGCGTCGTAGACTTTCCAGACACCAATGCACCTTTTGCCGCTTCGTTGTCCAAGTACACTACTACAAAGCGATCTTTCAACTGTTGCATCCAGAGCTGGAAGGCAGCCCAGATCGCAAGAAGCTCCACCTCATAAATTGGATGCTCAGAGGATTCGCGGAGCTTGTGCACAGAATCTGCTGGGAGTTTCCCCGAGAAGAAGGAAAGAGGTTCGCCGAGTGGGTCGTACAGAATGCCGCCCACACCGGCCACATCTCCTTCCAAGCTCCCATCAGTGAAAATGTAAAAGGTTTCTTTGATAGCAGGCGAAAGCTGCACAGGGGGCGACTCCAAAGCTCGATCACGAAGGTACGTGAGAGCTTGACGAAGGTCGCCACTGAGCTTCTTGCCCCCATCTAAACCTTTAACCCTAAGACCTAGGACCCCTAGAGCCTGGCTGGCGCGCCGGCCGAAGAGAAAGGAGCTGAACCAATGCAATCTTCCTCGGAGTGCCTCAGCCTCCGACGACTCAAGCGTACCTCGGTCAAGGATGACGGAGATGGTTTGCCTCAGCTCCTGAATCCTTTCGGGGGTGTGTCTGATGTATACTATGCCATCACCAAACTTGCTCAAGTCGATGATCAAGCCTAGCGCTCGACACTCCTTTGAGAATTTTGTTGCTTTGCGCCCTTCCCTCGCGAAGGTGATGCCCAACGCATCGAGCAATCCTTCCGCACAGGATTCGGTGCACTGGCAATTCTCATCCAAACTGAAAAGAGGGAAATCATCGAAGTAGTTGCACCAAGACAGTCCCATTAGTGTCGAGCCCACGTGCCAAGTGGCTGCTGAGGTTCTCAGGAACCCTGCTACCGAGCCTGTCGTTCCGAAAGGGAGGGCAGCAGCTCCGTAGAACTTCGCCTTGCCCGACACGGGGTCGAGCGTTACTATTCTGAAAATGTTCCTGTCGCTTGGGCACACTGCATACTGTTTGTAAGCGTACTTCAAATCCACCGTCTTGCCTGACACCTTCGCGCCTTTGGCTCTCTGGTCAAGCATTGCCCAAACAAGGAAAGCGGATATGTAATCAATGCTATGCAGTCGGAAGCGCTCAGGCAACCCTACCGTCTGGTTGATGCCAGCTGCTTTCCCGTCATCGATTACTCTAGTCTTGGCACCCTGAACGATGCCAAATCTGCGAGCTACAAGAACGGAAGACAAGTCGGGATCGGGGTCCTCGAACAACCAGCCTTTGGAAGCTTCCTCAAGCGTCTCCTTCCAAGTTTGTTCAGCAACCGCGTCCACCGGCTGAGAAGACACTCTGGCCACTGTCGCTGAGTTCCTGGCTTGGGCAGATTTCAGCTGTCTTTCAAGACTAGTCTTTGGGGGCCGGGGATCAGGTACGAACAAACCCGAATTCGGCATCCATCCCGTCAAAGAGAAACCCTTTCGAATGTCAGTGACAAGTCTTTCATCGGGAAAAGCCGACTCTGAGAGCAGCCGCTCCAAGAGGCAAGTCTTCTTCCCTGCAAGAATCTTGCCAACTAGGGGATCCATGGAATTTGTTTGGGCTTCTTCAAGAGGTTCAAGGTCTTTAGCGAGTTGTGCCCACTCGGCGACTTTGGATGCACCCAAGTCTCCTTGGGCAACACGACCACTCAACAAGTTGTCGACAAGTAACTTCGTGCGATCGTCCATGTTGTTCTCGAGGATCCTTCTGGGGTGACCGGCTGCAACGGCCTGTCTCACGAAGTCCTCAGGAGTACGAGGAATGCCTATCCAAATGACCTCGCGAGAATCCTCAAAAGTCAAATCACTCAAAAAGCCACAAACTTTACAGAGGGGCTGATCAGATTCTCCCGGGGGGATGTGTGTATCCAGGCTCCATCTCCAATTTGAATCCAAGCAATGCTCAAGAGTGTCCGAAGGCGGAGTCGGAAGCTCGCAAGCCCTAATCTGACCCCACTGCAGAAGCTTGCGACGAACGCCGCGTGCACCTTTGGGGTACGCTGAAATTAAGGACTTCGGGCAGTCAGACAAGCCGAGAAGCACTGCCCAAGCATCATAAGACCCAAACTCACTTACCAAAGCATGGTGCCGGCGTGGCTGCTTATCATAAGCAAGGCGAACGATTGCACTCGCAGGGCCAAAGAGAGAAGTTGAGGCCGGCACTTGACAAACCTGTGAAAGTACAATCTCAGCAACTCGGGCACACAAGAGCTTGGGATACGAGCCTTTGTGGCCGGCGGTTGGGGTTGCGCTCCAATGTACATGGGTGTGCCGGCGATTGCAGAGCAGGCCCAACGGCTTGAACCAGGGCACTGAGGATGCCCAACGGAGCTTTCTGTCACGCGGGCCTCCATGCATGCACTCGTGAAAATCCACATCATGGGCCTGCGGGGCCTCAAACGCACTCTTGATGGCAGGTATGTGCCAAAAGAGGGGGGAGGCTGGAGCCTCCACACTAACAGCAATGCCAAGCTTGCAACAAGAGCGAACAACCTCACTACAGAAAACATAAAGTTGATTGGCATCCTGAACTTGCTTCCTGAGGGGATCCGACAGGGAAACAAGGCCTAGCGGCTGGTCAAGGGATCTGACTGGGGGAGCCGACGTGGCCCCCGCATGAGAATCCAGGTTCCTGGCGGCAAGGCAGGTTTCTTGCGGCGGGGACAGATGCACATACTGCAGTGATTCGCTGAAATCTTGGATCATTTGCAAGACGACTTGACACTCAGACTCATCGGTGAAGTCGAGGGCCTGCACAGGATGACTTGAGCGGCAATGTTTATCAAAGGCAATCGCCTGGAAACCTAGCCGAGTGAATGCTTGACTCAGTCCTGCGGAACCTGCGAAAAGTTCAAGAAACATGCCTGGTTCAGAGTCGGGGCTTGTGCCGGGGTCCTGAACTTCGGGAGCGATTGTCTGCTGCAAGGGAAAACCGTATGATCGAAGAGAGCGCGCATCATGCGCCGACAGCTTCTCCAGATTATTAACCGAAAAGGCAACCAAAACTAACCTAAGACCCTTAGTCCAAGGCGCGGTTTCATGCTCACAGAAGGGATCGAAGCTTACGGGGCCCGCCTGAAGAGACAACAACTTAGGACCGGCCGCTGTGTTTAGTCGGATCTCCCCGCCTTCAAAGGAACTGAGAGCACACACGCCATTCAAGGAACCCGGCCTGTTGTTGTGGTCTTTGTGCGGGACGGTTCGCATGTTCTGGAACAAGCCAACTGAGCTGAAGCACAAGCCAGGAAAGGCGATTCTCGCCAAACGCACAAGCAGTCGCGTGCTATCCGGATAGCGTTTGCAATTGCTCCGCAGACCGGCTACCCCTCTGGAATAGGCACCTGAAATGAAACATTTCTCCTTGGAGTCTGTGGAAACTGTGCGTGATGATTCCTCGCCGGGCAGAAGCTCCGCGAGTTGCATCCACATCGATTCCCCGCCTGAACCTTGCTGCAAACAAGTCCTTGCGAGGTGTTCTGCAGGATGGTCAACCACCGTGGGCAAGCCATCGGGCGGTTTGAAGGAAAACTGAAATGCACAAGTACTCTTATTATTGTCGGCAGGATCTTTGAGGACGGAGCGGGCCGAGCCATCGGAAGAGTCACGAGGCTGCAAAGCTGGCTCATTACGCACCTGGGAGCTCAACAAGACATGATCTTGGGGCTCACACGATCCACGATCTGAAGTCTTTCTGGGACAAGGTTTGTCAGTTCCAAGCGAATTCGTCGATGCACCAGGGGCATGCTTCCTCTTCGAGGAGCGGCTCCTAGGAGTGGCTTCGGCTAGTCACTCCTTGTTGCTGGAGTCAGCCTTGCCCGACCCCTTGCCTTTGCCGCCTTGCCCTTTGTTGGCCTTGTTGAACCAGCAGGAGGACCAGCCGTGCCCCGGTTTGCGACATCCCATGCAAGCGTGCACTCCACGCTTGCAAGCCGGCGGGCTCCCACCATCGGTCTCTGCATTGCAAGTCCCGGTATTGTGAGTCCAGCAAAAGCGGCGGCCTGAGTGATCGGTGAAAAACTTGCACTCCTTGAGCTCTTTGGGCATGTTCTCCACCTTGACGGGCCCTGCCAATGAAGTCTTCCTTTCGCGTCTGGTTTTCTTCTTAGGACTCGGGGTCCCCGCATGTGCATTGTCACCAGCCTCGGATGCCAAGGCACTCAAAGCTTTGGGGAGCGGAAGCAAGTGCATCGTGATGCGGGGATCGGATCGGAAGCGCTCCATGAAGGTGTCCGCTTCCATCTCTCCTGTTGAGCTGGCCTTTACATTCTTTATCTCCTTGGACATCATGAGGAACATCTCGGAGTCGGCCTTCACAACCTGAGCAACAGTGATGTGGTTGTAACCGGGAACTGTGTCTGCCGTCAAGCACTGAAGCAGATGATTGACCCATTTCTCATGAGTCTCCCAAGAGATGATGCGATTCATGTCAAAGGCCAACCCACGCCTCTGCAGACACCATTGAAGTTGCAACGGTGTCCCATGGTCCGCGACGATCTTCTCCGGCTGGGCAGTGACGGTCACCGAGTTGTCGAGAACTGTGAGGACCTTCGATTTCTCCTTGGGACCGAGTCGTAGTTCCTGGTCGCGCTTCGTGCATTTGCTCGGCGCCAGACATGTCAAGCAATTTGTCTCCGCCATATGCGCAACAGAATCCACAAGTGCATGAGATGGTAAAAGCTCCCCTTGAATGAGCAGCCCCGGCAAACGGTGTCGCAAGTCCCTGTAGCGGGCCTCGTTCTCCGCGAGTGGGAGCCTCTTTGGCTCGTCGGTGGTGTCTCCTACCACTTGTTGCTTCAGCTGGGCGATGACATAGGTTGAGGCTTCGAAGTGCAAGCGGGTGAGCTTCGCAGTATCTCCAAGGCTGGCCCCGACACCCAGGATCTCGTCTGCAAAGTTGCGGAAGTCGTCCTGGCTTGGCGGGGATTGTGGCGTGCCGCAAGCAAAAGCCAAGTCCGAGAAAGTGCGGATGTCTTTCCCTGCCAGCTTCTGATACAGCGTGTCGTTTCCACACATGTCAACACATCGGGTCTTGAAGGATGCCTTGGAGTCTACCAGCGCCATGGCACGACAAGCGGGGCCTCCCTGGGCTTCCGTTCGGGCCGGATCCTGAACTCAGCGGATTGTCAAGGATGCTTTTGGTGCCTCATGAGCTACCGTGTCATGCCGTAAGCTTCGCTGGTTCAAGGGCTTCAGATTTGTACATACAGAAGCGGCCCTCGCAGTGGCAAGCTGTCAAGCATGCTGCTATGATATCCGAGGCAAGAATTTCTTTCTCCTCAGTTGTGGGTGTCGGCTGCAGCAACCTTCTTGCAGGCACGACAAACCGGGGTATCCCATCTGATTACACCCGGCGTCCCAATGGGAGGCTTTGCAATCCTGCCGCACAAGGTCATGTTTACATGCCTCAGCCTCTGCATGTGCAAAGTCTTAAACCTCGCATGCTGCACAAACCTGCAATCGCTAGGTGGAGCAGGCGGGTGCATTAAACGAACGGGTCTTGCGGCCGGCTCAGGGACGCTGGCACTAGAGTCGGAGCTGGATGATTCTGACGAAGAACTATCCCCCGATGCATCAGACTCATCCCCGCCTGCTGCGGGCCCTTCCTCGGCAACGCTTGGCGATCGGACGGAGAGACCGCCCGGAATTGATGCAACGGCCTCTCCATCGCTCTCGTCCTGCCTTGTCTCTACAAAACTGGGAGAAGGAGCATCGGGGCCGCTCCTCGGGGAATCTAAGGCTCCGGTTTGGGGAGTCGAAGGCCTGGCACTCGCTACATCATCCAGGTTCTGATGGCTTGCACTCGGCGCCGGGCGACCTGCACCTCCTCGTACCTTGGGCACTCCTGAAGTGAGGTCCTCAGGGAGATCTGCAAAATCGGCAGCCGGCTCGCCACCAACAAAGCGTCCCGCCCGAGTGGCATCCGGGTGGAACCTTCCTGAACGGATGGCTCTAATGACCATCTCGATGAGGCGAAGTGGTCTGGCCATAGCATCATCAGCGTACTCGTCACTCATGCGCCCAGGATGACTATGCCCCCCCATCGCCAAACGGTCAACATGCTTGATTCCCCACTTTGCACACATGCTTAGCAGGGTCCCCTTAAGACTGTGGGACGAAGTCTTCAGCCCGAGCCTGGGCGGGAGCAACCGAAGCAACCACTCACTGCACTCGTCTGAATCCAGGGCCCTGATGGTCGGGGCTCCAGTCACATCTGGCGCTGGCATGAAGGCGTGATCAGAAGTCAATCCCAAAGCGGATCGGGCATCAAGAAATTTCTCAATCCAGTCTTCTGAGCAGACCCCTAATCCCGAAGCGACGAGCTCAAGGAGCACAGGAGCCTTTCCTCTGCGGTTCATGTTCTTATGAACATCGACCAGGGCCTCGATGTATTCGATCTTATCACTGTCGGGACCCTGATCAAACCTGAAAGAATCCACATGCTGGGCATCACTCCACCGGCACCTTGCATACACACAGAACAAAGCGCATCCAGCGAACAGACGGTCCCACGGGTTTGCACTCGTATCCAAGATTCGATGCAGAGCTTCCAAATCAGAGACCCTCAACCCTGCAGCTTTGCAAACGGCTTTGGCCAAGCGAGCTGCACCAGCGCCCCAACATCTTCTGCTGAGCGCCAAAGGGTCAAAGGCCTGGATTCCGAACACATGTCGTGCAAAGAGAAGTGCCTCCATGATGCCCCTAAGCTGAGATGGGGCTGCGCCCCCCGTCTTAGCCTCCTGAAGAAGCTCGTACAGCTGAGACTCACCTACCGGGAGCCGCAAGCCCTTGCTCGCAGCCACCTTGAT